CTGTAGTTTACTTTCGTCGAGGATCGATGGGCGTTAGTCCCGCGAAAAAAGAACCGTGGCAAAGGTTTGGTCTTAATTTTGAAAGCAAACACCGTGTGGCCTTCGTTTTGCGAAACTGCTCGCACCTCGACCCAATTTTCCAGGTATGTTATCGTAATTAATATTAATGTGGCTTTCGAAAATGTTGCCTTGAAGAAGAGACTGTTTTTGAATTTGACGGAAGAAATTTGTTGTTTCCTTTATTTGTTTGTTGGGCAATGGGATAGGTACTAGTCACGTTAGTGTTGATAGTAGATGTACTGAATATTGGATTTAGGATACTATAGAGTATTGGTGATAGTCTAGTGCTTGATTAGTGTCTCTAATGTTATGGATTTTTGAAGATATTAACTTTGATTGGATATAGGTTACTTTAATGTTAGCTAGGTAAGGGTTAGGTGTAGACTAGACATTATTGGGTTTAAGATGGAATCAAATTTGCAAAAATTGACCAATTTTCTACCTTAGAAGCACCTAGGCTCTATTTAGCTTAGTTCTAAGTTATCTTTGACCTAAATTTCCTTCAAATCTTCAAGTTCTAACAAAATCTTAGCCCTCAACATACCTAGGCCACATGTATCTCAATCCTAAGCTGCCTCTGATCCAAATTTGAATCAGATTTCCTTCAAATTTCCAATAATTCTGATCAAATTTCAAGAGGCCTCAAATCTTTAAAGCTTCTACTTAAATCTCACCCTTTAAAACACTCAGACCACATTTATCTGAATCCTCAGCTACCTTAGACCCAAGTTTGAATCAAATTTCTCTCAAATTTCCAAAAATCTTGACCAAATCTCATGTTCCAAAACATCTAAACCTCAATTTAACCCTAAACTACCTATAGTCAAAATTTTTCTCAAATTTTCAAAGCTTCTAACCAAATCTCACCCTTTAAAACACTCAAACGACATTTATCTCAACCCTCACCTACCTTAGACTCGAGTTTGAATTAAATTTCCCCCAAATTTCCAACAATTTTGTCCAAATCTCATTCCCCAAAGCATCTAGGCCTCAACTTAGCCTTCAGCTACCTTCCACTTAAGTTGTTCTCAAATCTCCAAAGCTTCTAACCAAATCTCACCCTTTAAAACACTCAGACCACATTTATCTCAATCCTCAGCTACCTTAGACCCAAGTTTAACTCAAATTTCCAACAGTTTCTCACAAATCTCCAAACCTCCAAAGCCTCCAATCTCAAATCTCAAATCTCAATCTTCAAACCACTCAGGCCACCTTCATCTCAATCCCAGACTACCTTTGTTGAAAATGTCCAGATCCCATCATCAGAATCCTCAATACCGTCGTATCCTGAATGAACAATAGTCCGCGGCAAAAGGCATCAGCGCGTCCCGGGGCTTTCAGTTCACGAGGAAGTAAAAATGCGACTGTTTTCGCCGTCGCGTGTTCCCCATTATGCGCCCGACTCTCGTTCCCACGTGGCGCGACGTCAGAACGTGGAAATGCTCACTTTCATTCCCGTGGCATCGACCAGAAAGGCCGGGGGACGTCTGCCCGTAACTCAGTTACATCGAAAGCAGCCGCTCGCAATTACGAGCCGGCTGGCGGCGGTAATTTCCTCGCCCGGAAAAACGCGACCTATCGCGAATCGGAATATGTGTATGCACATTTTCCGCAGTCTGTCCTCGTCGCGGACCGAACTGCTCGCTGAGGAAGCGAGCAATGGCGGGCGCGACGGACGAAAGGACGGACGGACGGACGGACGCGGACGGTTTCGCTCGCGACGACCGATAGCGAAGCCACCTTCCCTTTCACTGTCATTATGCACGCGTGCTTCTTTCACCTTGGCGTCCGCTTTCATACGCCGACGGTAAATCACTGGACGCGGATCGGCAGCCCAGTAATTTATGGTCGTTCGGCTCTGCCACAGAGAAGCGGACCATCGGAGATAGAGGATGTGTGTCTATTGTATACGGAGCAGATCCGGAGTTGTTCCGTTCTCCAGGTGTACAGGACTGTTCAAATGCGGTGTCGCTTGATGGGACGCTTGGCACTAGATGTACGAACATTTGTTGTACAGTTTATTTTAATTATTTATTAACACTAGGTTTACACATATTTATTGTACACTTCATTCTATTATCCCTAAAAGAATTGATGCTCGTTTATTTAGATTGTGGAAACTGGAGATTTGATAGTAGGCAATTGGGGTACATGTCAGTGTGATCGCATCAATCAAAATCGGCGTGAACATTTACAAAATAATATTTCTAAAATCCAATATGCGTCAGTTTGACGCGTTCCGTAAACCTAGTGTTAAAATTAATGAACTATAGAAATTACAACAATTTCTATTGTTCCCGGAAACATTGATGTTCGTCCGTTTAGATCTAGGGAATTGAACGTTTAAAAATTTATTGTTAGGAACCATAATCGCGTAATTGAATCAATCAAAATTGATCCAAACATTTGGAAAATAATGTTTATAAAATCTAATATGAATCAAATTGACTCGTACCGTAAATGGAGTGTTAGTTGAATGTGTTATTGATTGGAAATTGATGGTAGTTTCGATAATGATGGAGTTGCAAGGAATAGATATATTAGGCTCTTCTTCAAATTATACGGGAGTATTCAAAGGTGGAGTCACTGGAGGTGATAAAATTTATACTTGAATGTGTTATTAATTGGAAGTTAATGATGCCTTGGATAATGATGGAGTTGTAAAGAGATAAATGTGTTAGGGTTTTCTTCACATTATACAGAAGATTTCAAAATTGGAATTACTGGAGGCGATAAGATACATATTAGAATGTATGATTCATTGGAAGTTAATGATGCCTTGGATAATGAGGTTGAAGAGAAACTGAAATGTTAGGCGTCTTCTAATTATAGAGGACAACTCAAAAGTAGAGTCTTCGTTGTTGATGTGATGTATATTTCAGTATACTACTACTTTGAAGTTAATATTCTTACAGATAATGAGGTTAAAAAGAAATTTTTGTGTTCTCAAGGAAAGGAAAGTGTTATGCGTCTTCTAAATATACAGGACTACTCAAAAGTAGTCTTCGTAATTGATCAGATATGTATTTGAATGTTCTACTGCTCTGAAGATGATAATATATTGGATAATATCGATGAGAAGATATTAACGTGTTATCAAAGAAACTGAGATACTACGAACAATATAAATTGTTGCTTAAACATCGACACTGTTAAATACTACCTAGTACTTCTCTTAAACAGAAAAATGGAGTCTGTTGAGCCAGTTTGTTTAGGCCACACTTGCTACAACTTCCACAAACCATATCAAACAATTCAATCGTCACCACGAAAACACCGTGTAATATTTAAAAAAAAACACAATATATTTATCTAAAATCAGCTGATACAAAGGTAACAACGAGAAAATTGTACCGGTAATTCGTTCTTCACCTACTCCGTCGACTTAATATCAAAATGAAACGTCCATCCAAGGTCACGACTTCCACTCCAACAGCCAACTGCACAACGATTCCATTTCAACGTTCTCGTAAGGTATTTACACACTTTAAGTAGACCGTTCGACGCGTTGGCTTATTAGGCGAGCGAAGGTTACGTCTAAAAGCGAAAGTGGTGGGGAAGTATCCTTCGAACAATAGTTTCTTAACACGTAATATATAGTATGCATCAGCGACTAATGCTGTAACGAGCCTGCACCGTCTTCGTTCCCTTAAAATTACACCATCGTCGGTCACTTTTGCTCGGTACCGGAGATCCAGAAACTTTGTACGTGTACCATGTCCCAAATACTTGAAACGCAACGAAGACAAACGACTAAGTTATTCGATTAACCCTTTGCGGACGAGCGTTGTTCAAACTTCTACGAACTCTGGAACAGTGAAAATGCGTCGTAGCCTCGAGTACTAGAGAACAAGAACACACAGCATATCGATTTCTCCTTGTTTGAACAATGGAACGATTCATCTGCAGCTTTCGATTTCGAACGTGAAATCTAATTCGACCGCAATGGGTTGATCATCAGCGAATAAAAGTTGCAATTAATTACGCCTTCGATCACTCATATGGAAACGAGGTTCGTATCGTCGGCCAAGCAGTTCTTTGATGTTAGCACCTTCACCTCGTTGGCCATTAAGGTTTTGCTCGAGTCCGGGCACACTTTGATCCTAGAACAAATCAACGAGCAACCATGTTACATCTCTCGTGAGCCGTGATACAGGGACCGTGTCAACAGTTATTGACAAGCGGGACACGCGCCGGGTAAATTACCAACTATGACCGGCCCTGTCTCTCCGCCGAGAGTGCTATTAACATTTCGACGTGATCGGAAGTGGTATTAACATGTCCGGTACTTAGCATCGCGTATTTCTGACGAGCCGACGCTCGGTTTTTGCGGAAGTCCGTTTTTGCATATTGATATTCAGCGGAACTTCCAGGAAGTAAATATACTTGCTGGAATTTTATGCCACTCGTCATTGAAATCGATTAATTAATATTTCATCGGCGTAGTTTGTTGATTTACCGTTCTTCTTTTTTATATTCGAGAGAAGTTATTTTTAAGAGGATACAGTGATTGTAAATATTATTATAATGTAGAATGAGAAGTATCTATATTTCATCCGATCGAATCTCAGAAGAAGGTAAATTTGTTAAAATCTTTGAAATTTGTCTTTTTTGAGAAATTTTCATTGATTTATATTTTAGAGATACTATAAAGGAACTTTCAATTATAAATTTCAAGAATCAATACAGTAGTGGCTGTTAAATAGTTATTTCACGTAGCAATTGCCCCACAATCAAATCGTAAAAGAATGATAATAAGGAATAAAATTCTCAGATTTTTTAATTAATATTTCATGAGCGTAGTTCGTTGATTTACCGTTCTTTTGATATTCGAGAGAAGTTATTTTTATGAAGATATAGTGATTGTAGATATTGTGACTGTAATACAAAATAGAAAATGGTTAAAATTATTAAATTTTTTAAAATCTGTAAAATCCAGAAATGTTTATAGATTAATCTTTTAAAGACACCATAAAGCAACTTTCAATAATACATTTTAAGAATTAACATAATTGTGACTGTCATATAGTTGTTATTTCACTAACATAGTACAACTAAGCAATTGCCCCACACTTAAATGCCAAAAGAATATTAATATAGACTAAAATTCCCAAATATATTCAATGAGACATCAAAATTGAACAGAATGGAGTGTAGAAGATTAAAGACAGTTACCCATGCGAGAATTCCAGACTTTCCACGGTCAACGAATCGATGTAGACTCGCGGAGTGTGCAGAAGACGCCACGTGAGCGGATTGAACACGGAAGGCTCGTATTTCCACAATATCTCGACCGTTTCCGGTTTACCGACCACGTCGCCGGCTAACACTACAGTATGAGTGCTACCTGGCTCGTAATATTTCGTGTAAGAGCTCAGCTGCATCTTCTCTGTCATCTTTCCATTCTCTCCGATCACTCGGATCACGAAGATCCCCACTTCACCACCGTGGGCCAGGCTTTCATTCGTTTTCGAGATATTAAGCGTCACTTTGTAATGTCCCTCTGAAATCATTGTTGTTTCAATCGTTAATACATTCGTTGAACATTATATGAAAAGAAAATAATGTAAATCTCAATCATTCTAGAATATTCAATGAAATATAAAATAAAATTGCGAACAGTTTGATATTCAAGATTAAATATTAAGTGAATCATAAATAAATGAATAAATCAGATTGTTAATGAATCAATACTAATTTTATAATCACTGTGCCCCACTGATCATAAAAATTATTATTTCAAGAATAACATTATATTGGAGTACGAATTATAAAAACTTTTTAATATATTTCTTTCTAATATGAATATTAATTGAATCATAAATAAATTAATAAATCAATATAAATTTTATAATCACCGTGTCCCACTAATCATAAAAATTATTATTCAATGATAACATTATATAAAAGTAGAAACTATAAAACTTTTTAACATATTTCTTTTTGAATATCGAATGCAATTATTGCAACGAAGTGAATCACTGTGCTCTCAATACGCGGCAATTGCGTTTAAATTGAGTACACTTTCGCGCCACTCAGAATGAAAATGGCGCGTGATGGCACGAGGCCGGTTAAGGAATATTCAATTTTCGAGAGAACAGTGTATTACTCATGCCGGTACACCTGACACTAACTGCAGAATGGCTTATCCGATCCGACCATCAGGTAGACAGAGGCATGATAGTTTCCTGGTTGAGCGTCCAATCCGAACCTCGGACAGTATTGGTTCACGCAGTCGAAGCACCTGCCTTCCTTGAACTTATCCCAGGATGAGCAAGGAACCGCCAGAAACGGGCAAGCTGTATTGATGCTTTCTATGAAGTACTCGTAACTGCGAATGTGATTGCAGTTGAGGAGTCTCTTGATTCCTACATGGAAAAGAGGAAATTGAATTTTCTAATCGATCGCCGCGTGTTCTGGCTTTATCACCGACAATATGGCCGTTGACACGTTGATTGCCACGAGAATTTCGAAGTGTAACAATACGTATTCTTTCATAACAAAGGCAAATTGTATTAGAAATAATTATTAATGACTTGGTATCACAGTACACGTGTTACACTGTCATCTAGCTGATTGTGTTACTCAGTATTTTTATTTGAGATCAGTTTCCTTATTGTAATTGTATATAAGCAATTTTGAAGTTCCGGTCATCGGTGACCACCGTGGCAAGCAACGTGTTAAACTGAACGCTAAATCAGTTTCTTTCTTGTTTTGAATTTATAAAGTAAAGCTTTACTGAAATATATTCTTTTAATGTTATTTATATGTTTAGTTTGATCCCTTCAGCCTTCTTATAATTTGTTTTATAATTTTGAATCGTTGGGATTACTTCATTTGTAATAATTTAGAAGAGAAGAGAAGACTATTGATAGTTGGATAGTTGAGTAGTTAAATAGTTCAATGGTTAAATAGTTGAATAGTTTGGTGGCTGAGTATTTGTTTGGTTGAATAATCGAGTAATTGAATACTTGATTAGTCGATTGGTGAAGTATTGTAGTTCAATAGTTAACTGAATGGTTGAGTGCTTGAATAGTCAAATAGTTGAATAATTGAGTAGTTGAGCAATTGAATAGTTGAATAGTTAAATATTTAAGTAGTTGAATAATTGAATAGTTGAATACTAAAATAAGAGAATATTTAAGTTGTTGAGTAATTGGACACGTGAATGATTGAATAGTTGAATAATTAAACAGTTGAAAAGTCGAATTTATTATTAAATATCTAACTATTCAAACAATTGTACAATTAAGTAGTTAAACACCTCAATATTTAAATAGTTCATTTAATCCTTAAATACTCAAAACATAGGCCCAATTAATCATACAGTTCATCACATAGTTCATCACATTGCAAAATAAAGTAACCTTCCAAAAACTCCCCAAAACTCAAAATGTAACATTCGAACGTCTTACCATGAAACAAGCTCCCACGTTCCAAGGTGATGGAACCGATGACACCCTCGTTGCAGCCAGGCTGATTGCGACCACCGCTCGGATAGAAATCGATATGCGCGACAGGTTGGGTGATACCAAGGCCGCCGCTGATAAACGGATTGGAATCGGTATGAATGGCCGTGACGAATGTCGCGTCCGACGGATCTAGCCTCACCATAGTCGACGTGTTGCTGAAATGCGGCTCGGCGGGATCGAGGCCTTTTGACATGGAAACGGAACGTGAGAAGATTCGCTGAGACCACGTTGCTGCAACGTGGTTCATTCATTTTTCGACGCTTTTTAAGGACCTTTCGTGCTCCGTTTCCTTTTAAGAAACCGATCGAGACATTGGAATAATAACTTTCCCCACAGATTCCCAGGCTACGTTAACGAGTATTTTAATCTAATTAACACCTAGGGACGTCGCAGACAAAGGCACCTTATTTTGTTAACGCATTCTTCTTGAAATTTATAATTAAAGGAAGAGTGTTTGTGTAATTTTGAATTTTTGTGGGGAAATTTTAGGAACTTGGGAACAAGTGTAGATTAGATTCTTAATAATATTATAATTTAGACTATAAACGAGAAAAATTTGTAGTTTAATCTTTTTAGAAAGCGATGTAACAGAATAAAAAGGTAAATGGTAAATAATATTCAAAATTGAATTAAAAAGTTTGCTTGACGATTTTTCTATGGTATAATTTTAGGAACTTCGAAACAAGTAATAAACTTCTATTTTAATACATTAAATTCTTAATAATATTATAATTCAAATGATAAACGGGAAGAATCTGCAATCTGATTTTCGTAAAAAGTAATATAATACAATAATAATGTAAATGGTAAATAATATTTCAAATTGAATCAAAAAGTTTTACATTTGAAACGGATAATGAAGTAACACATGTTTAGAATTCTAATTGATCAGATGGAGTGTTTCTGGATTCCTAGATTTTCGTTGGTCCGTGGTGCCAATTAAATTTCTTTTTTTCCCCTGATCAGGTTACACTCATATCACACAATCATCACGTAAGAATTACCACATGTCCCCGAAGCGCGCCCGTTACACCTACATTGCGCAAAAGCGGAAGTCGTTTTTCGGTCTGGCGAGATGATAAATTAAAAGGCCGAAAGGAAAGCGATCGTTACAGCACTCGTGACAGGACTTTTACATTCTCCCGCGGGAACGAGCGACGCGGATTTGTTTTCCTGGTGGGACAGGAAATGAATCGATAGCTTCTTTAATAACTTCTTTATGGAGGCGTGACCAATCGTTTTCTTCGGTACGCTGTTCCAATAACTGTGCACTTATTCAATCAAAAACTCCTATTTCCAGATAATGGAGAAGTATTAAACTAAGGATCTAGAAAGAATCTGGATTGAAAAGCTAATGGCAATATACAAAAATTATTAGACAATAACTGAAGTGTGTTTATTCTGCTAATTTATTTTGACGTCTAAGGGGTTGTTCATTAATTCATAGGTGTCCATTTTTGTTTACATAAGCCTAGATTATTGGCATAATTCACTTTTGAAATTTATACTTAGGTTATCCAATTAATTAACCAGATTTTTACATTATGCAACCATTCGCAAATTCTACATTCGAATTCTTCTATTTTAATAAATTAATCATTTTAAACAAACGGTTCAATTACATAAATTCGAATTATTAAAATAATTACCTTTCGAAATCTATATTCAGGTAATTCCATTAACTAATTAAATTTTCACGTCTATTAATAACACAATTATCAAATGAACGAATCTCAAACAATATAAAACAACTACCCCTATCTTCCAACCATTCTCAAATTCTACTATCAGATTCCAAAGTTAAATTGAAATTCTTCACCTAATATTTAATTCCACCAAATTCTCCTACATTCAATTTTAAAAAATTAACCATTCTAAACAAATGATTCAATAATATAATCCACCCTCACCTATCTACCCGTCAAACCTACAAACTGACGTTATCACACACTGACTTATCCCGTCTGGCCCTACCAACAGAGGCGCCATGGGCTCTCTTGCCACTTCTTAGTGTCTCGTGTTCCCTTATTCCAGTTGTTTACCGGATCTTGTCTTCGGGCGGGTTTAAGGGCGTCGTTGCAGGGCTCGTTCCCTTGTCAGTCAATAAACCTGCCCACCCAGAAGTCAAGGGACCGATCGTTTCGCGTTGCCAACCAAGGCAAGCCCTGTAGGAGGTCTCTAATCACCCTGATCTCACCCTGCCTCGCCAACCACCATTTTTCCCTTACGCCCGACGAGCTTTCGCTGGCTCCTGGTGTCCTGGTAATTCCCGATGGGATCGATAGCTTACGTAACAACGACTCGGCCAATCGTATTGGCCCGATCGCGTAGCGCCAATAGATTGATCAGAAATTGAGAAGACTTCTTAACTATTTTACAGATTTCCATACATTTATTCGGGAAAAATTGTATGAAACGTCAAAAACACAATGGATTCTATTATATTCGTCACGGAAAAATTACTTTGTATTAACGTTAATATTTTTCTTACAATATTTCTGATAATTAGAATCCGAAGATGTATGGATAATTATTAAATTGGATTTTTAGGCAGTTAAACGGTAATAGATTCTAAAAAATTATGAATCTATGTAGTGTACGTTTTGTAGTGAAAATTTGAGTTTATGTAATTGTTATTTTGTCATTTTTCTTTTTTGAGATAGATAACTTAAAAATTGAAGTTAGTATTTATGTTAATTTCGTTGAGTTCAGTTTTCGAATGTTATCGTAGTGTTTTAGGGAGATGGAGAATTTTTTATTGAAATTTGGAACGAAGAAAACGTTCGTTGGGTTTTAAGATCTCCCACGTTTATACAGACGCACGCCGCGGAGCGCGGCGACGAACAAGATGGCCGACACGATTTTTCGGCGGTGTCTCTCCTTCCTTCAACTGTTCCCCTGATCTTTTCTGATTCGATCGGCTATCTTCGTACGTTTCCGGGCGATTCTGGCCGCTGGCGGAACCAATTTTATTCGGCGCGATAGGTGGTCGCAAGATCCAGCGGAATTATAAATTAATTCAATTATTTAATCACTTCCTCGAGGCGTCTCATTACCATAATACTGTCTAGAGACACATTTTACACTTAAAACCCAGCGAAAAAGAAAGAAAACAAAATTTGTTTACTCAGAGTCTCGTTCCCGAGGAAGTTGAATTTAAATATTCATCAAGCACGTGTTAATTATATACACGACAAGTAGAATTGTTAAGCCAAGAGCACACGTGCGATTTGCCGAGCCAATATTTACCTGCCATCTCGTCAAAAAGTGAAACTTCAAAGGAATTTTATTCCTTATTTCTGTCTGCTTGAAAAAGTCATTAGCCTGATTGCTCTTGATAGATTAATATACTTAAATTGCAGGAAATTGAATCTGCTACGTCATTATGCAGCTAATTTTACCATTAAAATTCTCCTTAATTTAACATAGAAAAGCTTGCTACTTAAGATACATTTCCACTTGAGAATATTACCTTTGTTCTACTTATAGTTTATTATATTTATTACAGTACCACAATCTATTAGGTAACAGCAATTGTAATCGACTCACCTGTGATTCTTCCAAGCTGAATCCCATAAGTGTGCCTCAAGAAGTAACCAACGTAGCCACAGGTGTGTGCACCTAGACTGTGACCGATGCAGTGTATCTTGGCAGGGTTAATTCCACCGAATTCGACCAATTGTGACACCAAACGAGCTGTCATGGAACCGACTAGCCTCGTGTTGGCAACAGCTTGCGTGTAAGGTGGCCCAGCGCCACCGATCCAATTGACAACGACCACGTCGCAATTTTCTCTCAACAACAGCTCCTTCATTGTCCTCTGTGAAGGAATTGTTTAATATAAATAAAAGCGTATAAATAAAAATCGATATCGAGAAATAATTGAAACGATTCGTTCCCGATCGCGCTGCGGTAAAAGTTACCGGGGGAACTCTTAATGCACTTTCGTAACTTTTACGACGTTTAAGATATAAATCAGTTACGTTCAGTGGTGGCTACTTTCTTTCGATGCAAAGTGCAGTATTGCCTCTCTATAATCACGTTTCCCTGATTATGCGCCGCGGTTATCTGGAAGGTTTTAATCGGCGGACTACGAAGAGGAAACGTTCTATCTGCTCTATTATTTCGCTTTTATGTGCAGGGTTCCCTCGATTTACTTCGTTGACCTCGGCGGTAGCTTCATCAGTGGTACATTTAGGGGATAGGCGAAGAGAGACATGCTATTAGACGAGTGAAAAACGAGTTGGTAAATAATTAACCAAGGGAACGATGGTTCACATGTTGGCTACGGTGACTGGAGCTTCCGAATTGCTTGAAAATAATTACAATAAGAGAATTGATATTGAATCAAAATATTTAGTGACACAAGAAGCTAGATAATAGTGTAATATAAGTACTGTGATACCAAAATATTAATAATTTTATTATAGGAATATTTAGCCTTTATTATAAAGGCATAATTCTTACTATAACAAAAGGCTAAATATTCCTATAATAAAATTACCGGAGCTTCCAAATTGCTTGAAAATAATTACAATAGGAGAATTGATATTGAATCAAAATATTTAGTGACACAAGAAGCTAGATAATAGTATAAAATGAGTACTATGATACCAAAATATTAATAATTTTATTATAGGAACATTTAGCCTTTTGTTATAGTAAGATTTATTCCTTATAATAATGGCTAAATATTCCTATAATAAAATTATTAATATTTTGGTATGACAATACTCATATTACACTATTATGTAGCTTCTTGTATCACTAAATATTTTGATTACTATATTTACTATATCAGCATAAAGGACCATAGACACGATTCAATACTGTCACGAAAATTTCTAATATTTTGTTATAGTAAGATTTATTCCTTTGTAACAAAACGTTATAAATTTTCGGGACAGTGTTAAATCATGTCTATGGTCGTTTATACTGATTTAGAAGGTCTCAAGCAGAGAACTAATACAGAGGCAATACTGTATTTATCTTCGTTTTATATTCTAAAACTCTGAAAGACATCATTATAGTGTCTAAAAAGGATCTGCAGAGATTCCGATTAGGAATTTTCAATGTTTTTGGGTAAATCGGGTGGAATAAATTTGTTAGAAGTTACTGTAGGAGCTAACGATCATTTTTCATTGCTTTTTATACGAATTAAGTCGAATTTTAATAAAAATTGATGAAGTACCAGGACCCAGGACTTATCGCCGTTGTCTAGAAAGCCATGAATGATGAGGTAAAGATTGTTCTTCTTTCGAATGGCCGCCTTTCGTATAGTTTCGCGTTTGTCGATCTTTAACTCGTTCGGCTGACCCTGGTTCTCCCTTGTGTACAGCAAGTAACGAGGGTTGATGCTGTCCGGTCTGGCGGGGAACGTGGACACTGGCCGGTTCTCGCCTGACCAAGGTGGACCGATATAAAAACAGCCGTACGGTTCGAAGCATCGCCACATGTACCAACCTGAGAAAAATTCAGCAAAAGTTCCACTGACGCTTTAAATAGACAAATCTAACCGGAGTTCTAAAATATTCTGTAAATAAAGTAGTCTTTAGTAAAAGGAAATCAGATAATGGGAAGAATAAGAAATTATATTTATAAGAAATGTAAACAATTTTGAAAATATTAAAACCCTGCTGATTTAAATTGAATGAATATTCAAATTTTTATGTTTAAACTTCGATTTGATTAACATATCAAAAGTTTTTAAATTTGATTTACTATTCAATAAATTTGAATCTTTTTAAATATTTATCATTCGAATTCTGAAGAATTCTCAGTTTCAATTTTCAAATATTTAAAAATTCAATTTAATATTCAATAAATTTGAACCCTTTTAAACAACTGTTGACAAAATAAAATATTGAACATTCAAATCTTAATATTTATCATTCGAATTCCCAAGAGTTCACAGTTTTAATTTCCAAACACTTTAATATTCAATCTATCATTCAACTAATTTAAATTTCTCTTTTTCAAATAACTCGAAGTTTATTCAAATTTCTGTTATTTTTATCTCCGATGATTTTTGGAATCTACTAATCGCGAAACAAGTGTTATCGCGACGGTTCGTCCATTCATGCGATCCAAATTGAATGCAACACTATCAACCGCGCGGGATAAAGGGAAACGTTGGAACGTGCACCGAATTGCCGGTCACGTGCGCCCGACCTTCGCCACGGTTAATCGTAAATCCAACACAAAGACAAAACACTGGGCGCGGCGTTCGAGGAACTGATAGAATACCGTCTGCAGAGATAACATTAACGTGTCAGATAACCCCTGGCCGGCATGGCAATTCGTTGCGCGTTGTTCGAGCATCGATCTACTGTAAATAATGATACACCGCGATGTCCCGTCGAGACTGATACATAATTGGATCACGCTGATCAACAAATTCCAATTTTTCAATTCATCTCTCGTCTACAGTAATCCAATCAAACTGCACCACTATAACTGTTAGTAAATTAAATTTGTCTAAGTACTGTGCCAGTTATAAATTTAAAGGTATTACTTTATTTTTGATCATCTAGTGATTTATTATAATAGATTTCATTTTCTCTCATGTTTTTTCAATTTGTAGTAAAAATATATACAAGATATTGCTTCACGAAAGAATTTGAAGTTAATCCACGACAGTCATGCAATTGAATTCAGTACTATAGCTATTAGTAAATTAAATTTGTCTAAATACTGTGCTATTTATAAATTTAAAGGTATTATTTTATTTTTAATCATCTAGTGATTTATTATAATAGATTTTATATTTTCTGGTATAATGTTTGTACAATTTGTATTAAAACTACAAAGAAGATATAGTCTCAGAAAAAATTTAAAATTCATCTGCAATAGTCATCCAATTAAATTGCACTACTACAATTATCAGCAAATTAAATTTGGCTTAATACTGTAAGTTCCATTTAAAAATTACGAATCATTTTTTCAATTATTCGGCAATCTGTTATAATAGATTTCATATTTCCCAAAGTAATGTTTTTTAAACTCATATTAAAAACATTCAAGAGACTCAGTTTGAAGAAAGAATTCAAAGTTCGCTCGGAAGAAAGTTTCGAGAAAGTCCATTCGAAAGCAAAAGAAAAAAGAACTCACTGTCCAGGAAATCGAACTCATTTTCCTCTTCTTCCGGTGACAAGGTCGTTGTCACGTACTCCTTCGTGAAGTTACTGTCGATATCCTTCGAACTTGAGTTTCCTGGCAATGAAACTATCACGTTCGCGGTGGACGCTAATAGTAGCAACGCCTCGTTCAGGATCATTTTGTGCGAGTTCCTCTGCGTTGCGCCCAAAAATTTGTACTCCTTTAAATTCGTACGATGGAACGATCTCTGATCAATTGGAAATGATAAAGAATATCAGATTCAACGAAAATTTTACATTAATCAACAAATTTCGTTCAATTCAGAATCTAGTTCTAGAATCTAATAATTAGTTACGTATTTTACTAATTTCTGCTAAAATTATTCGCAATATTTCAGTTATATTATATAGTAATAGATTTTAATATATTTCGAAAATTCTTAAATAGATAAATAACAGTTTAAAGAATATCAGATTCAATGAAAATTCTACATTAATTATCAAACTTCGTTTAATTTATCTAGAATCTAATAATCAGTTACGTGTTTAGTTTATTTCTGCTAAAATCATTCGCAATATTTCAATTCTAACGTATACTGCAAGAATTTTAATATATTTCGAAAGTTTGTAAATAGATAAATAACAGTTAAATTAAGCAACGTTGATGCAATTTCCGCAGACGACACTTCCAGCCGCAAAGTAGGTATTAAGTTTCGCTCTTACTTTCAGCGAGCCGACAAACCATCACTTTTTCTCCATAAAACGCTGGAATACCATCGAAACAATGTACAAAACGTAATTAAACTGCTGTGGAATGATCCTATAAACCTCGCAGTAATCAAATTTCTCTTTAATTCAACTTCGACTTTCGTCAGTGCTCATTTTACACGTTTATCCGCGATAAAAACGCGTGAAATACGCGTCCCACGGGCAATAAACGGGTATTTTAATTAATTGTCGCGGAAAAATGCCGCGACGTTGTTGATTATAACGTTTCACGTCGATTTCGTTTTTACGGCGTTTAAACCGTCGCGGGCGAGAATTTTTTAAAAATATCCGAAACCTTCCACGGAGAAAGCTAAATTGTATCGATAAAAAAATTTTGACGTTTTTTTGGAGCAATTAAAAATATCACCGGGTTCATTTTTCTTTTCGAAATTACAACGTTTTTACAGTAATGGAATAAATGAAATTAAAAACCAATGGAAATTATATATAAGTCAGTAAGAATATTTGAAGAACTCTTCTTTTTATTTCTTATAAAAAAAAATTAAAACTTTTGTATCAGTCCAATATATGAACCATGTTTTTTAAAGTAGTCCACTTTTGAAAAAATAGTGAATTAATGGAATTTTCTGTGAAATATAGATATCTTCTTTTTCTATCTGATAGTTTCAATGGTAACCCGTTGCCCTATGATTTCTTTTTCAATTATGATCGATACATCTACTTTGTTATTAATAATTAATTGAAAGAAACAAGAATTATGGACATATTCCAAACTTTGCATTTTCACCATGTTTTATTGTTTTACTTCAATATATTTGTTAAATTCTGTTAAAAATCTTCACTACGAGTTTCACATGTTATTAGAAGGCAAGGGGTTAATGGTACCCTCGTGGACACTATCGTCTTCAGAATGGTCCCTTTGGGATGGTAAGAAAAGGTCGATCGTTGCGTCAGTGGTCCAGTAACAGGACAGGAAGCGTTTCTTCGGTTTCTTATTTGACTGCGGTTCTCCGTTGATGATCCTCGATCCCTAGTATGCGCACCGATAGTAGACGCGCGTGGTAAATACGATCGAAAAAAAGAATCGATTGACGTAAATGGCGATAGCTTGAATCGGCGGAGCAAACGATGCTCGAAATAAACGAAAAATTCAAACGTCGCGGTTGGTATCTGCGGTCAAGAGTCGCTCAAGTGGAGTTAATTCGCGGTAAAGACGTTTCTAATCCTTCCACCAACGAGAGGAATGATTTTTTGACGCTAGAACTACCGTAACAGACGCAATGACTGGTTTCGGTCTTCTTGTTTCGCAGTTATTTATGTCTCGAAAGCACTGAATATGTGAAACGATTTTGAAAATAAATAGTTTCACTTGAATACTATAATGAATGTCTGAAGAAACTGAAAATTATCTATTGTTACCATTTTTATAAGGATTACGTATGAATTATATTAAATGCTTGGTAGTGTTAATGAAAATGACTGTTTTCAGTTTTCTTGTCTTGCAATTATTTATATCTCAAGAGCACTGGATATGTGAAATGATTTGGAAAATAAATAATTTCACTTGAATACTTTGATGAATGTCTGAAGAATCTGAACACAATTTATTGTTACCATTTTTATGGGAATTACGTACGAATGGTAATAAATGTTTCTTGTTTTGCAGTGATTAATACTCAAAAGCACTGAATATTCGAAATAATCTGCAAAATAAATAGTTTCACTAGAATACTGTAACGAATGTCTGAAGAAACTGAAGATAATCTATCGTTACTATTCTTATAGGAATTACGTTAATTATATTAAATGCTCGGTAGTCTACTGTTCACACTAGGTTTATTATAAAATTTATACTATCAAAGTTGATGTTCATTTAAATCGTAGAAATTAGGAACTTAAAAACGGACAATTAAAACATATATTTGCGCAACTGCATCGATTAAAATTGATATGAACTTAGTCAATAATATTTATGAAATTCAATGCGCGTCAAATTGACGCGTTCCGTAAGCTCAATGGTAAACAATAAATTTCTCGAACTGCCTCGAACTTGTAAACAAACAATGTTTAAACCTTTGCACTCGGAAGTTTTTCGCTGGAAATATTCAACGCTTTCTGATGAAATATTCTCTGAAGCAGACTAATGAAAAAATGTACATAAATCAAGGAGCAAAGCTGTTTTATTTCAGTATTCCATGTATTGGCGTATTATACAAAGATTCGTATTATATATAACCTTATAATTTTTCTGTATCGAGTCAAGTTGCGAGAGTCACCTCTCGAGTCCAAAGACGTTCTGCGTAGTCAGTTTCTTAGAATATTGAGTTTTTAAGTGAAGAGTTGATGATTTGAGATGCAGATTTTTTGAAGAAACTAGTATAATTATGGATTTTAATTGCTGTTTCGTTATTAGTGGTTTTCGTTATTTTGTTTTAGTATGTTATGCGACAATTTTAAGGGTCAATCACGTAAATGGCACGAGCTACGTCTCTCTTAATAAAGATTTAAAAATGCAGGAATAGGTTAAAATCGCTTCACAATGTTTACTGTTTCTTATCTTGCACCAGTGTATTGGTGATTCGGTTGTGGTTTAATTAGTTTATGAAACGTTCGATAGTGCAAGGTTGTTGTGAAAGAAGTAGTCTCAACATTGTATGAAAAAATAAGAATATTGAAAGTATTAAAACATATTTTGAATTAATGTATAGAGAGACTTAAAGATTCTTCTTCCCATTGTAACAAATCTAGCTTAATTAACTATTATTAATCATTTCTCGAAATAATTCCTGAAGATCCATCAATCCATAAAAATATTAAATCTCATTAATCTTGCATCATACAAAACAATTTTAATTTCAAATCAGACCCAATTACTAATTATTCCTTAAAATAATTCCTGCAGATCCATCAATCCATAAAAAACTATTAAACCCCATTAATCTCGTGTCGTGCAAAACAATTGCAACTTCAAGAAGAGCCTCCCATCTCATCATCCCCATATCGACATCATCCCATAAATCACTGATACCCCCCATGTCTGTCGCAATATTGCGAAATATCTCTTAACTACCCAGTGACTCACCTATTACAGAAACATAAAGAAACATCCATGCACGATTCAAGAGTATCAACACCCTGGACACTGTAAACAACTCCAATTGTTATCCTACGAGCACTAAGAAACACCAGAAAAATCGTTTCCCCACGTTTCCTTTCGTCGAGAAACTATCCTTTCGCAACGGTTACGTTGCCAGCGAGCCGAGGAACGTTTCGAGGGCTCAAAGTCAGGGTCCCCCGATCGTGGGTTCACCGATCGAGCAACCACCGCGCACTAATCACTCAAGAGCGCCGATGGCTCTCGTCTGGCCTGCTTTATCACGCGTTCGGCCCCACTTCGTTTCCACGTTTTCTCTGTTGTTCTCGTTACGACGAAGTCACGGGAAGCCAGACGGACCCTGTCCCGAGCCGCGCTAAATAAAGAATGGCACCGCCGCGGAACCGGACCGGCCACATGTGCAGGAAAGGCCCTTTTCTTGCCCGGCGTTCTCGCTCGTTCTTTCCTCGAACCTTCGTCCCCTTTTTCTTTGTGCCAATTCGCGGCCAATTAGCAGCGATCAAAGACCCGACTGTATGTGGCCTGCTTGTTTCGTTCAGTTTTTATTGCGGTTTCTTGCAAATGGAACTTGAAGGTTGTTTGCTGGGAAAATTCAGGGGTAAACGAAGGGTTGGAGTGAAATCGGAAGTTAGGGACGGTTGTTGGAATTATATTGTGTCATGAGAGAGTGATAGTGATAATAGAAGAATAAGGAAATTAGAAAAGGCAATTAGTGTTTATGATTAAACGATTATCGCCAATTAAATGTAATGAAATTTTAAAAAGTGGTTAAGTGAGTAATCTATAGTATTGTAGATTGGGTGATCTCTTTGAAATTATGATATGTTATGGGAAAGCGATTAACAGTAATAATAGAACAATTATAATAGAATACGAAAATTAGAAAAATTAGAAAAAAATAATTAACCTTCATGATCAAATGGTTATCGCCAATCAATTAAAGTAAATTATAAGAAATGAATAAGTAAGTGATTATAGTAGGTGATCTTTTTGAAATTATATTACGTTATGGGGAAGTAATTAATAGTGATAATAGAACGAGCTCTATCTAAGAATAAGAAAATTAGAAAAAGCAATTAATCTTTAAATCAAATAACCTTCACCAATCAGATTAAAGTAAATTATGAAAACTGATTAAATGAGTAATGTATACTTCATACCAAAGGGTCAAAAAATGGCACCGTTACTAAAAAGCCTTCAAAACTACTTTCCAAAAACCATTTCCATTTTAACCATCAACTTTTCTTCAACAAGCATACAAGCAAACAAAAATGTACAATCAATATATATCTAATTCAACGAATGATCTATAATCTACATGTAGTCACGCCTTAATGCTACTCACTCGATCACCAATACAAGGGTGAGCAAACTCTATGCATGTGTCACCAGGGTAGGTTCACAAGTCTACGGTAAAGGTGTGTTTCCACCAGTTCTGTATGAACGCATACACGTGTACGGCGATCGATCGACGTGCGTGTGGCTCGAAGCAGTGTCCTGGATCAATAGGAGGCACAATGGGGGTTCGTTCTAGTGCAGTTAACCCTGGTAAACCGAGAACATTGCCACCAGCATCCCCTATCGTTTCAACCCCGTGAAAAAATTTCCTCCTCTAGCCTGATACGTTCCTGATTGAGGACACCCCTAAGATGTGTCTCGTGTTTGCTCAGGGGATGTTGCAAAATCACCCTAAACGCACTCGGGACAGCTCCTCGACTGTCCTGGGATCTTGATACTCGGACCGTATGAGTGTTGCATCGTGATTGCCGTGAAAAGTATGAATGACACCCCTGTCACGTGGTGACAGGACGTCGGGTGACACCATACAACCACCCCTAAAGCTAGAAGGGAAGTTTTTTCTGAGGAAGAGTACGATTCAGGGTATTCTATTAAAGACTATAGTACTCGAAATGAAATGGAGATTGATTTCCTATGAAATTAGTAGTAATTAATAATTATCAAGTACTTTTTATAATAATACAGGGGTGGGTTTAATAAAAATGATTATTTGTCAAACATTACTCTTCCTCATCTTACCTCCTTCGATTTTAGTTTCCACTTCCATATATTTCTATTATTTCACTTTTTTATATTTTATTAATACAATATTATTTATAATCCTACAATTTTTCATTTCTCATCTATCTTTTTATATTTGCAATGCACTCTATTAAAGACTTTGTTGATACTGGTATCATTATAAATGTTACTATTAATGTTACCATGTTAATGAAGATAAAAAATATATTGAAAAATCAATAAACTTTTTTTTTCATATTGATTAAAAATTTTCCAATGTCGGTCAGAATTAGTGTATACGTATTTGAATAAATTATGAGCGACACACAATATTAAGTGCACGCAGTTAACAATTGTTGCGCGTGTAAATGACAATGTTAATGCGATTGCGGAGCTGCTGGTAATGCGGGCGTGCGTTGGGCTTGCAGGAAAATGGCGGACAAGCTGATCCCGCTTCGTTCGATGCCGAAGGGGCCTTCAGGACCCTTGAGACACTCCTTCTAACCCCTGCTACCCTGTTACATTGCCCTATCGAATCCCCATTCACTTACGCGCGTATTCGTGCCACGGTATCCTGCGGATATCCCTGCAGAATCAAAATGGCGGACCTGTTCAGAGACAACTTGCCGCTGGGCCAACTTGCAAAGTCCCTTGTTGGAAAAAATTAACTTTCTGGATTTCAATGATTATTGATCACAGCATCCTAGGTCACCGATACTAAGAAATTACAAAATAATAATTGTTTGCAATTATTTTGTAATTCAAAATTGATCTATGTTAATAAAATACGTATTATTGTTAATATTCATGTTTTAGTTTCGTTTGCTTTAAATTTTGTTGTTTAGATCATTTGAATGATTGATGTTGAAACAGCTAGGAGAAACTTATTTCCGAGCCCTATCTGCTCTTTCCATTCCATAACTTATCATTTTTCACGAGTATTAAATAACCGAATTTCACAGAAGCCGGAGTACGTTATCAGTGAGAACTTCTAGATACCGCCTTGACCTACGACTCTTATTACAAAGTTTCAAGTCATCTAATCAGTAATAGAGTTCCATGTAATATAATGAATCTGACAATTGTACTTTGAATATGGTTCTCTTAATGAAGTATGCAATCAAGGAATTTACTTCCTGTAGGATACAAAATAGACAAATATGTAATTAATAAGAAATTGTTAAGATATCTAAATAATCCCTTTTCCTATTTGCAACGAATAAAAGAAAAGTCAAGATTATATTTCTAACTGAAAACTGAGGAATACTGAAAATCTTTGTATAAAAATATAAATATTCAGTGTGCTTTGGAATGAACAATATGAAGTGTATCTAAATTTTCGTTTCCCTACGGTACTATCCTTCGCGAAACGTAACCTCCCTCACGACGTTCCTACATCTTCTTCCACTTTCTACGTTCCTATTCCGGGTACCGACACGTGTCCGTCTGATGTCGGGAACCGCTTGTCACAGGTGTCGCTGGTCACACTTACATATATAAAATTACTCCTATTAAAATCAATCAATCCTCGAATAACGTACATTTTAGAAAAATCGAAATTTAAAATCCTGTTCTGAGGAGGATGTAAAGTTTTCAGACTTTATTATTAGAAAACATAAGAAATTGCGAGAAATGGAGTACAAATAGTTTGGAAGCTTTAACCTATGCATGTGTGTCGCTCGCACTAGAAGAAAAAAGAAGAGTAGTTCAAAGTGAACACGATTTTTCAACAGGGAAACATGAAAATGTCGAAGCTACCAGAGTGCAGATGTACTCTGACTCTTTGGACCGTGAAAACAGTGAAAACTACTTCCTCACATCCGGTTAGTATCCTTAGGGGACACTCTCAAAGGAGCACCTCGTAAAATCTATTAAAAAAAGGCAACTATTACCTCATTTGCCTCGATAATTTCTTCGGAATCTTCCTGTAATCATTCGATAATAGAATAGTTCAAAACTATCTAACACTAGAACGACCTGGTCAAAATGACCAACTCCTAATTTCTTCTTTTAGAATGACTGCAAACGTACAGATACTTCTTTAAGAAATGATTAAAGAAGCTGATTTGGTAATACCTAAACTGAAGAATAAACCAATTGAAATGTCAATAAATTCAAATATATAGCTTTTATAAAGACATTTTCGAAAGACGGTTTAAGTGCTTGGTAGTTCAAGTGTTAAACAACCATAAATAAAAAGTCAATATTCCATTGAAAAATAAAGTTACCATTTCAAATAAGAAAAATGAATTTTCTTCTTAGTAAATTTAAGAAAATAAATAAATTGTGTTTTAGATGCTTAATGATCGTTCATTATTAACTCGTAGAAAATAAAATTTCAGGGGTTCAATGTAAAATAATTTGTACCCTAATATAAAATGTAATGTTTTTCAGACTGATGCTTGAACGGGAAACGTTGGCTACGTATGAGCGCCATATTTTGGTAACAGCCATTGCTCCGAGTCCCTATTGGTAGGGACCACCACCGAGCACTGACCACACGCTCGTCCCTAATATACTTACGATCCTCTTCTAACATCCTGTGAACTCGGCCCTTTGTGAAACGTCCCTAGAGGGTAAAAGTAACGCAACGATTACGTCAGGCGCTCCTGTTGCCCTTAAATGGAATCGTTGCCCGACACCAAAGGGAAGTACAACGGTGACACTGACTAGGAGAGCATGTCCTTGGCACTGGCCTTTTTTTCGGGGGTTTACCCCTGTAATGTCAACCAACAGGACCAGTCACACGACAAACAACATTCAATTTTTTCAATTCCTTATTTGCTCTTCAAAACTTTTGAAAATTAAATTAATAATGATCTCAACATAAATTCCATAAGAATTGAATAAAAAAAAGAAGAAATTGTAATGATGAAAATTGAATTATGCAATTTGTAATATTTTGAAAATCATCTTTGGATTTTTGGAAATTAGCATCAACAATGATCTCAACATAAATTCCATAAAAATTGAGTTAAAGAAAAAAAGAAAAAATTGTAATGAAGATTAAACTATGTAATTTGTAATATTTTGAAAATCATCTTTGGATTTGGAGAATGGAAAGAGAAAGAATTTTAAGTGATTAAATAAAGAAATGGCCAAATGTCTTTGACCATTTCACTAGTGGAAGAGTTTAGGATTGAGATTAGAGGATGGTCTGATAGAGTTTTCGCTAATTGAAGGAGGTGTTGTTTTCTGGAAGGGGATGTTGTGTCTGAAATCCTTTCAAAGGATTGTCGAAGGGCCGCCACGAGATACAACCAGTCGGTTACTCATGGTTTCCTAGTAAAAGTGCGTAGGCGTATGCCCTTTAGGGACCAACAATCCTCGTTCTTCCATAAAAGGATTCTCTTGTTCCTCAAGGACGTTCCCATTCAATTTTCGGTTGGCATCCCTCTTGGCTTCATGGGATCCTGCTGTCAAAGTTTGTGCTGGTCTCAGCGTATCGTGTTTACACCCCTAGGCGATTGCTCTCTGTGGTCAAAACTCATTATGACATGACTGCAATTAGCATATAAGTATAATAATAATTATACTGCAAACCCAAACGTGAGATAATACCTGTATCCTTGAAGATTTCAATTAAAAGATCAAGTACTCTGTTAATTATTCTATGTTTCAACTTTAAACTGAGGTCACGATTAAATTTAATTACATTATTTAATTACATTCATTTCTCACATGAATATTTAAACTTTCACGGTTTGGTAATACAATGAATGATTAATAAAATCCTAGGCATTGTTTTCCCAAGAAGTTTGTGTTTAAAGAGATACTGCTGTCTTAGTGTTAATAATAATTATGAATAATATACATTTGTATTGTTAATTCAATGAGATTATAAATTGGAAGGAGCTTTATTGAGAATATTACTGCAGTCAGGGGATGTTTAATCGTGTTCATTATTCGTAGGAACGAAGAGAGGAAGAAAATTACGGTTTAATTTAATGGGGGAGGATAATTCGTTTGCTGTGTGGGTGGAGGGGATGATCAGAGGTGCCAGATGTTACTGGACCCTCAACCCACCCCACCTAGAATTTTTTTCCATCGACTTCCGGAAGATACGACCAGGAAATCATGAGCACGTAGCTCATGATCACGTGCCTGACAATGTGGATGGTCACATGCATTAACATACCCTTCAGATAATCAATACCGACAACATTTAACATTGACGTTTCCATACAGATGAGAAAGGAATATTTCCACCGGAAACAGCAACACGCATTAAATTACAGATTCCAAAGGACAAATTATCCAGAATGGAATTTTTACAAGGTCTTGAATTATTAAAAGAAATATATAAATTATAGAATTTCAGAGATAAATGATTATTTTATCAAACATGAATGACCTTTGTGAAATCCGCAGATCGTTATTCCCAGTATCAGCGGAGTTGCCTGATTTCTTCGTATAATACGAAGCTCCTGGAGTAAATTGCTCTGATTTACTGCGCGTGGATTATGATCATGAATATAAAGGGGACTATATGCGTGATAAAAATTCGAGAGATCGCCGGGCACTTTTTTTCCGAGAGTTTGGAATATTGTGGCATCAGGATACCATGGAGGTGATGAAGTTCGAGGAACGCGGTTTACCGGGATGGGGACATTAAGAGGAAATGGGCGGGCTCGCCGTTGGACGAGGAAACATAAAACATGCCATAAAATGCGTTTGCTTGGTGGGGAAACAAGACAAATCGCCTGGATGTCAACAGTATTAGGAAACCATGGGTTAATAGGGCCTTATATTCCTGGCCAAGTGAATGTTACGTAGGGACAAGCATTTTGCTACTTTCCAGACTATTTTTCCCAAGCTACTCTCAATTAAGTGTAAACGAAACATTAGAAGTTAAATAAGTTCAATCCAAACTCATCTGCCTCTTTCAGATGAATAGAAATAGTTATATAAATTTCTTACTCCCACATGAATACAAAATTCATAATTTTATACAATCAAAGATTAAGTATTGTTTATATTAAGGATCGATTAGCATCGAAATCTTAATTGTTCAAAAGCATGTAATCAAGAACGCGAAGAATAGTCGCGCAACTAATTTTCAGAGGTCTCTGAAGCCTCACCTCTTTCCCATTTCACGGTCCACTGTTCTCCTCTTCCATTTCGCAGTCACATTCCTCGCTTTAGTTCCTCATTCCCCAATATCAGGGCGGCAGACGCGGGAGGTTCACAGACCTCGTAAATTATGCTCGCTTGTCGTACGGACAGAGACGAGTAGACACGAGGTGTACCAGGACAGCATGACGGCGAGACGTGTTCGACAGCTCGCGGAGACCTTCTGATCTCCTGGAGGTGGCTGGCAACCACGGACATCGATGGCGCTGCGTACCAACACGAACGGAGCTGTTAGTTGAATTATTCGATGCTTGCACCAACGATATCTCTCTTGCTTTCACTGTTTTCCTTTATCCAGGGCCGTACTATTCATTTGCCACCTTAAACCTCCAAAAATTATGCCCTTCAAAAATACAGAAAAGAAACAATTGAATAGAAAATTGCAACAATGACGAAACCTCTAAAACAATCAGATTTACCAAAAAAGGGGAATAGTCTTACCAAAGACAGACACGTTAAAGGCCTATAGCTTCTATGCAACGTTGCTTTTATCCTGTTCCATGGAAGCCACGTTACGCACACTGATTCTCAGGCAGAGAGCATGTAAAGGAATTTACTCGTGGATTACATCGCCCACACACAGGCTCTCGCGTTCGCGACACCTGTCTCGCCCGTGTACACGCACGATTCTCTGTTCCACGTATCCAGACAGTTTTGTTTTTATAGTGCGAGCACACGCACCATCAGGAGACCATGGCGCGTGCCATGGTTGCCCAGTGTGTGCTGGAGGATGGTGGACGGGCCCCACCTTACGCCGAGGAAATTCAATTTGTCCTGGCTGAAGAAAGATAAATCGCGCAGATGTCAACAGTAACAGGGCAGCATAGTTGCGCAGTAGGCGCGTGCGCCGCGTTTTATGCAATTCCGTTCTGGCGGCCGCGAAACCGCCGCCATTTTTCCGATGAACAGGAATGCAGTCAAAATGACAGAACTCCGTGATCCGGGACACCCTTTTCGATGGTTGTCCTCGGTTCACTCTAACCAATCGGAAAACTAAGTATCATACAATCGGCTCGTCATTAGTCATCAGGTTCTCCAGGACATTTCACTAAACAGTACATTCATAAAATAGTACCCCTAATACTTATTAGTTCTCTATTAAATTAATACAAAAGTGAAACAATTTCGACTAAAATCATTTCATCACTTGTTTCTCTGTCTATAGTCAGCATACGCTACACTTGATTTCAATGACACGCGGCCGTCACGGAATCAGTGATCGATGACCGGTGACAGACGAGTACCATTAAGTATCAGGATGTCAGAGGCAAAGAGTAATTTGCAGAAACCCGGTGCAAGGAGTGAATGATCGCGGTGGAGTTAGCATTTAGAAAGAACTGTCCAGGAAGTGGGCTACGTCAGACGGTTTTTCTGTCACGTGACATCCGAGCCGGACAGTTTGCTGCGAAGAAGTCGCGTCGATAAGATTCAAGATATCCGTGCGAACACACACACATACAGACACACGGGGATGAGCAACGGCGTAAGAAGAAACGGCTTGTCAATATCACACGGAACTACTGAAGCCTGATACTTATCTTGGGGGCAGGCCAAGAAAGCGGAGGACAATGGAGCACCTCCTCTATGTTACAGGATAATATGAGGCCGGAGGAAATCGTCGTCGAACAGACACGACCCGGACAAAGGAACCGCGTATCGGCTGCAATTCGTAGAGAACAAAAGAATCTTGGGGTGCTGTAGCAGGGTAGCATGTTTGGATTCACTTGTCGCGATCGATTACATCGATGACGCTGGGGCGGACAGCGCCATTGCTGTCTCGCTTGACATACCTCCTCGCTGTCACCGAAGATTGCCGTGAAATCGAACAACCGTTGTCAGTATACTGTTCCCTCGAGGATCTACCAACGACCGGCTATCGTGGCGGTCCGCGCAAACTGAACCGAGGAAGTTGCTCCTGTTACTCGGCGCGGACGCGACCGTTTAACGCGGTCGTATTGGTACACTTGAAACGAACGTGTCTAATTCCTTCGTTCCGCTCGAGCGAGTCCGCATAAAAGGAATGCGGTGACAGCGACCAGGAAGTTATAACGGCCGAGAATCTCAAGCTCCGAGGCCGTTCCTTCCGTTCGCGTTCCTCTTTTGTCGCCGTTCCGGAGATACACCGGTGTCCGCAGCGGATCGAACGCGGAGACACCGATTGCCGGAGCCAGAAGTCGACGATTATTACGCGTGTTCGTCGGGAATCGTAGGAGACGGACACGGAGAAACGAGAAAGGGTTGTGGGCGGCGACGGAACATTCATAGAAACTCTATCCGGTAGCCAGAACGACGAGGAGGTCAATCGGCATTTGCTTACCCTTTACGACTCCCCGGACCGTTGCTAATTCCGGCTGAGTTCCGTTACCTCCTGAA